TAATAAACAACGAGAAATAAAGGGATACGGGGATCTAGTACAAGGTAAGGTTTCTGTCTCTAAGGTTGCTTCTGTCTCTGGGCTTAAACATAATCTTTTAAGCATAAGTCAACTGTGTGATTCTGGCTACAATGTCAAGTTCCAAAAGGAATCTTGCTCCATTATGTCAAGAGCTGCTACGAGCTAAGAGAAAAGGCAATCTGTATCTCATGAACTTCTCACCAAGAGACAACTCAGAGACGCTTTGTCTCGTGTCTCGCAAGAGTGAAGAAACTTGGCTCTGGCACCACAAGTTGTCTCATCTTAATTTCCAAAATATAGAGAAGCTTGTAAAGAATAATCTGGTTGACGGACTTCCTGCCATAAAGTTTGAAAAGGACCATCTATGCTCTGCATGTGAAATGGGAAAGCTCAAAAGAGCATCCTACAGAACTAAGACAGATGTGTCTTGTTTCAGACCTCTACATATGCTACATGTGGATCTTTGTGGTCCAATCTCTGTGAAGAGCTTGTATGGTAAAAAGTATATCTTAGTCTTAATTGATGAATACTCACGATATACTTGGATTGAGTTTGTAAGGCAGAAATCAGATGTCCCAGATCTGCTAATCAAATTAATGACCAAGATTCAAGTACTTCTACAAAGCAGAATTCAGAAGCTCAGAAGTGATAATGGAACAGAGTTCAAGAACGCCAAGATCAACGCGTACTTGGACATAGAAGGCATAACTCAAAACTTCTCTGTAGCAAGGACACCACAACAAAATGGTGTCGTAGAAAGAAAGAATAGAACTCTGGTCGAAGCTGCATGCACCATGCTAGCCAGCTCTGGTCTTCCAACCCGTTTTTGGGCAGAAGCAATCTCTACTGCCTGCTTTATTCAAAATAGAGCAATGGTGGTAAAAAGGCACATGAAAACACCTTACGAACTAATCAACCAAAGAAAGCCTAACGTCAAACTTTACATGTCTTTGGTTGCAGATGCTTCATCCTAAATGATCGAGATCAACTTAGCAAGTTCGATAAGAAGGCCGATGAAGGCAAGTTCCTTGGTTATTCAACAAAAGCCAAGGCATACAGAGTCATCAATCAACAAACCAAGACGGTCATGTAGAGCATCAACGTCTCGTTCGACGATAAAGAACAAATGACTTCAGAGTACCTCAGGTTTGGACTCGATCTTAACCAACAGACTTCCAATTCTCAAATGAAGTCAAGGGAATTGGAACTCAGGGTACTATTTGAAGACTTCTATGGTGACGAAGACATCTCTGTACGTGCACCAAGAGATGCATCTGCGAGTGTATGTGAAAGATCACAAACGACAAGCACCTCTGACTCTGGTCCTTCATACACCTCTGCTTCATCTGGAGATCATATCAATCCACAGCCAGAGCAAACAAGCTCTGCATCAGAGCCCAGTTACGTAGAACCAGAGCCTAATACCTCTGGCTCTACACCTGGTTCCTCTATACCATCATCCGAGGGGGAGCAAGCAGAACCTTGTTCACCATCAATGAGCTTAATGCCAAACATGCCCATAGAACGTGATCAAACGTCCCCACTTCTGTATCTGTCCCAAGAACAAAATGGACAAAGGATCGTCCTCTTCACCAGATTATTGGTGAACCTTCAAGTGGCGTAAAGACACTGGCTGCCACATCTAATGAATGTTTATTCGTAAACTTCCTTAGTATGGTAGAACCTAAGAAAGTACATGAAGCCCTAAAAGATCCTAGTTGGGTCGATGCCATGCAAGAAGAGCTCCAATAATTTGAGAGAAATAAGGTATGGACTCTTGTACCTTTACCAAAGAATAAAATTACAATTGGCTGTAAGTGGGTTTTCAGGAATAAAAAGGATGAGGATGGGATCGTGGTAAGAAATAAAGCTAGGCTTGTAGCAAAAGGCTATTGCCAGGAAGAAGGCATAGACTATGACGAGACCTTTGCACTAGTAGCAAGGCTAGAAGTTATACGCTTGTTCTTAGCCTTCTCTACACATAAGGGATTCCGAGTCTATCAAATGGACGTTAAGTCAGCCTTCTTGAATGGTAAGCTGATGGAGGAAGTCTACGTTCAACAACCTCCGGGGTTTGAAAGCTCCACACATCCAGAGCCTGTCTATTTCTTGGACAAAGCTCTGTATGGACTTAAGCAAGTACCTCGAGCCTGTTATGAACGTCTCTCGTCTTTTCTCTTATCTAATGGTTTAGAAAAAGGTAAAATCGACACAACTTTGTTCATTAAGAGGTATAAAGGAGAGATGCTCTTAGTACAGATATATGTGGACGACAATATCTTTGGCTCAACGAACCAGAGGGATTGTGATAAGTTATCTGCGTTAATGAAGAGCGAGATTGAAATGAGCATGATGGGAGAATTAATCTTCTTCCTCGGCTTGCAAGTAAAACAGAGGGAGGACGATATTTTCATTAGCCAAGTTAAGTATGTCTCTGACATATTAAAGAAATACCAACTCCATAACTCTTCCACCATGAGAACACCAATCGTGACGGGAACTAAGCTTGACACAGATCCATCTAGAAAACCGATGGATGTTAAGACTTACCGTGGAATGATTGGATCACTACTATATCTCACAGCTAGTAGAACAGACATTATGTTTGCCACATGTCTCTGTGCGCGTTTTCAAACAAATCCAAAAGAATCTCACCTTTCGGCTGTAAAAAGAATCTTTAGATACCTTAAAGGGACTCAATTTTTGGGTCTTTGGTATCCAAAGTATTCTGGTTTTGATCTTATCGCGTACACAGATTCTGATCATGCAGGTTGTAAACTCGATCGAAAGAGTACATCAGGGAGCTGCCAATTACTTGGGGACAAGCTCATAAGCTGGATCTCGAAGAAGCAGAACTGCGTCTCTACCTCCACAGCTGAAGCAGAGTATGTAGCTGCAGCCAGTTGCTGTTCCCAAGTGATATGGATGAAGACTCAACTAAAAGACTATGGCGTAGAGTTTGAGAGGATTCCAATTCTGTGTGACTCAGAGAGTGCTATCGCAATCACAGCCAATCCTGTGCAACACTCAAAAACAAAACACATTGATGTTCGATATCATTTCATCAAGGACCATGTAGAGAAAGGTACGATTGAAATGTTTTTTGTTAGTACAGATTTACAACTTGCTGACATATTTACAAAAGCTCTTGATGAAAAGAGGTTTAATTTTCTGGTTAGCAAGTTGGGTATGCTTAATCTTTCAAACTAAGGCAGAGCCTTTGCATCCCTTTATTCATACTTTAGTTTTATTGTTTATTTGTATTGATCCATGAGACAGAGCCTCTGCATAGTACATGCAGAGCCTCTTGCTCTAAGTCCGAGTTGTTTTGTGATACAGAGCCTCTGTACCTTGATTATTATGCATATGCTCTACTTATCACAAATGATCCAAGCATAGTTCAAGGGGGAGCAGATAAGAAGAGCTCAAGTCAAGGGGGAGCACGAGATCATGTCACACAGAGCCTCTGCTTTAAAACTTTTCATGATTATAGAACAGAGCCTCTGTATGTACTATACAGACCCTCTGCTTCTAAACATAGTAAGTTTTCTACAGAGGACATGTATAGTCCAATCACGAGTCTCTGTATGAGATCCTAAGGTATGTTGTCTTCTTCTGCATGTAGTACTCTGGTTCTTTACAAAACCTCTATTTCCCTCAAACCAGAGTATTTACACTTGTAAATTTTGTTTGAAAATCAAAATATATTATTTTATTAAGAAGGCGTAAGGTTCCTTTTAATTTTTTAATAAAAGTTGTCACCTACATTAAGCGTCACCTCCTGTGAGCTTATATTTTCAAATGTGGGAGGCGCCACTTGCAGCTGGCAATCCACGTGGCGTGCCCCCACAGGCTGTGAGAAAACCGGTTAAGTTTTTTACCTGACGTTTGGTGCGCTAAACACTCAAATGTTTTTATTTTGATTCTATTTAAACAAAATTTTCCCCCAAATTAATCTTTTACGCTTACAAAGTTTTCAAGAACTCCCGTCGTCTTCAATCTTCAACCACCATTAAGCTTTCAAGCTCCCAAACCAGTGATCGGAATCCCATTCAGTCTTTCAACATTCATCCCTTGTCAAGTAAGTCCCAAAAATCCTTTCCTCCAACCCATTACTCGATTCAAGAACTGTTTCTTGAAACCCTAGATTTTTTTCTTCCTCACCCAAAACCTGCAAAAATGTCCTCATCCGAATCTTGAAACTCCCAAACCCATACCACCACCCATAAAACTGTAGAGGACACCAGTCATAACCTGGTTCCTCTTCCTATCAAACCGAATAACCATGCCCTTCACCTCTAACTTGAAAACTTTGACACCAAATACCATCCCATCATCAATATCCTCCAAAACCACTTCTTAAACCCAGCCCTGACAAACACGGATGACCTTATTCCTCAAAGGTACATCCAAGAATATTGGCAATCTTGTGCCATAACTGAATCTCAAAGAGGAATTGTAGGAGATTTCTTTGTCTGTGCCCAACAGGAATTCGTTACAGTTCGTATTTCAAGGTCTATGTTTTTGCGGGTTCTTTAAATCCCAACGAAAACTGACCTAGGACTTTCTGAGTACACCCCTCTCCCATCTGGGGACGAAATAGTGGCCTTCTTGAAGTTTTTGGGGTACAACAAGGCCATCCAATACCCGTTACAGTATCGCTGTCAATACCTACCACCAATGTGGGATACTCTTTTCACATTGGTCAACAGATCGCTAACTGGAAAGATAGGGAGCCTCGACATGTGCTCAACAAACGTTCTTCAAATCATCTACGGAATCTTCTTTGACTTATCTCTCAACTACTCCTTGATACTCTATAAAGAGTTCAAGGCTGCCGTGGCCTAGAAGTGTCAAGAAGTGGCCAAAGGACGACAGTTGACGTCTCTGCTATTTCCATGATTCTTGGGTCTTCTTCTAAGACCAGCTCTCGATGACAACAATATTGATGTGGGTCATCTACCTGCTCACAAGTGAACATGCTCACTCAATACAGACCTACAGTGAACAAGGAGGGTTATGAAGCTGAGAGGCCTATTCCAAACAGGCTCATGAGTTATATGAAGTCCAAGGAGATTAGGAGAGCGTACAGACGTATACGCAAGACACTAGAACCAGTGTCTCGAGCCCCGTTACGCATAGGAACAGCCGAGGAAGAAGAGAGGACTGAGGACACATCAAGGCCTCAAGCAGAGGGAGAGACGGTGAGAGCAGGTGAAGAGAGGATGAGAGCAGAGGAAGAAAGGGTACGGGTACAGCAAGAGAGAGAGAGAGAGAGAGAAAGAAGAACAGAGGAGGTGAGGATAAAGAGAGCTAAGAGGGAGAAAAAGAAAAAGGAAGAAGTCAAGCGAGCAGAGCAAGAGAGATTGGCTGAGCTTACTCGTGCTAAAGCAGAGGAGGAGCGAGCAGAAAAAGCTCGCCAAGCAGAAATCGCTCGTCTGAGGGAAGAGGCCAGACTCAGAGCAGAAGAAGAAGCTCGTCAAACCTTGGCTCACTCCTCTAGTCCAAACCAAGGGGATGACCAAGAGCACTACGACGATGCTGCAAGGTCTTACACAAGTGAGGAAAGTGAGGAAAAGGAAGAAGAAAGCACAGAAGAAGAGAGTGAAGAAAAAAGAGTGAGGAATAAGAGGAATAAGAGGAAGAAGAGGGAGGAGGTGGAGTAGCTGCTCTGCCTCAGGGTGAGCCAGAGCAGCCTAGGAAAAATAGGTACATTCGATTTACCAGCCTAACTCCCAGTGCAAACGAATCTTCTGACTCCGATGGTCGAGATACAGGAGTCATTGAAACAAAGGTGCACACCTCGAACCCTAGCCAGCCTAACTAATCAGAGGTCGCATCTACCTCTGGTTATAACAGCCAAAGGAAAGCCTCACCACAGGGAATACCCTCTCAAAAGGGTGCAACCTTTGAAAACATAAATGATATGTCTCCCTATATCATGCTACTTTCCCCTACAGAGGAATTTGTTTCCTCTGCACGAGTAGATTCCCATCCTTGTTCAGAGCAAGGAATAGGTGCACTTGGCTTGGAGAATCTCGACCGGTCTCTTAGCCCATTCATGGAGAGCCCTCTGGCTGGCTCTGAACTAGCCTTGGATCCTCTCCCTAACAGAACAGAGATAGTGAATTCTCCTCAATGAGAACCACGAGGATTCTCTGGAAGTCCTTCCCCGACTAACGTCAATCAAGTCGCGAATGAAGGCATCCATGGAACGGGGACTCACTCTGGCCCATGTGTTGAGCCAGAGGTTACACCATCTGCATATGTCACTAGGGAAGATTTCCATTCCCTTTTCACCTCTATGCGATGCTCCTTGGAAGAGCTAAAACCCATCATGGCCCGTGCAGAGCCATCCCCTTCTTCACCTGCTCTGGATGAGATACGAGCATCATTGGCAGTACTAAGAGCTGAGTCTACAAGAAATGCTTCGCGTATCAATACTCTCATGGAATTGACGGCACACAATACAGAAACATTACAACAGGTCGTCGCATCAATATAGAGGGTTGAGGCGTCCACATCTCTTAACAACCAGGCCCTCATACCTCTGAATGTACCTGTGGACTATGTCACACAGAGCGCCATGAATGCTCTGGGTGACAGACTCCTACAGAAGGTGGTGGACTTCAATGTGGATTTCAATAAAAAGCCACAAAAGTAGCGAAGGACATCAACGACACTCTTGCCCAATTCAACTATCGCTCAGACGATGAAATGCGAAAGGTTGGCGTTAGAGTCGACGAACTCCTCAAGACCATCGAGGAGACATTCAAGATAATGCCTCGAGCAAAGGACCAGAGGCCCAAACGAAGAATGGATCCATCTCCTTGTGAACCAAAAAGCATAAGCGTTTGACTTAAAGCAACAACTCCAAGACCCAAAGCCTCTACATAGTACATGCAAAGCTTCTGTAAACTCATGCAGAGCTTCTGGCTACCTTCTTCATGGAAAGCGCGCGTTAGTCCAGACATTCTTGCAAAGCATCTAACAGATTTAAGACGGCTTGACCCAGTCTGCTCCGCTATTCAAGGGAAGTCAAAGATAAGGATGCAGACCAGTTAGCTCAGAGTTCCATGCCTTTTTTATAGCATAGTTTGTTAGACCTAGGCGTATATAAGGAGGCCTCCGCCTCAGGTTCAAAGTACCTGAAGGAGCCGACTTATACTATACGCGTATTCTTGTGAGATTACTTTTTGTTCTTCAATTGTTCATCATTATCAATAAAAGCATTCGGTTATTCAAAGTATTATTCACTGTTTACTTTCTTCTATGAGTATTATGTTTAATCAATAGAAATACATTGTTGTTCTTAATTCTTATTTTACGCAAACAACATTTCTGCAAATTGAGAGTATCTGGGTTCCAACACTTAACTTTGAGTAAGAGCTCTGGTTCTTGATCTTCTGCATAAGAGCTCGTAGCCAGACAACTTCCATAGACTAAGTCCTATTGACTAGAGTAAGACACTTCTTACTTACACTTTCACAAGCTGGGGTCTAACAATATGAATCAGATAAAATACAGATAAAATTCCACACTCCCCCTCAAATATAGATTTCCATGATCAATGAATTTAAAACCACATAAAAAATTGAAATAGTGATTTGTATTAAACAATACAGATATTTTGAAAAAATGAATTTGAATTAAACACAGTTCAATAAATTGAATTGTTTTTAAGAAAAATTCAAATTTTCAAATTTAGCATGCCTAACTAATACGAGAAAGCTGAAGCCTTTTTCATCTAAAGCTTTCGTAAATAAGTTGGCAAACTGAAATTCTGTATTTACAAAATACAACTAAATAGTTTCTTTTTCTACATGATCTTTAATAAAATGATACCGGATATCTATATGTTTAGTCTTAATGTGTTTAACAGGATTACAAAATATTGCTATTGCACTATTGGAATCACAATAAATGGGAATTTTATTAAAATAAAACTCGTAGTCTCTAAGCTGTGTCTGCATCCATAAGACTTGAGAACAGCAGCTAGCAGCAGCTACGTATTCTGCTTCAGTCGTAGAGATGGATACGCAGTTTTGTTTCTTTGACGCCCAGCTGACTAATTTATCTCCCAGAAATTGTAGATGTCCCGAAGTACTCTTCCTGTCTAACATACAACCTGCATAATCTGCATCTGAGTATGTTGTTAGTTCAAAGCTAGTACCCTTGGGATACCAGAGTCCAAGATTAGCAGTCCCTTTCAGATATCGAAAAATGCGCTTAACGACACTTAAATGGGACTCCTTTGGATTAGCCTGATATCTGGCACAAAGATGTGTTGAAAACATAATATCCGGTCTACAAGACGTCAAATACATCAAAGAACCAATCATGCCTCGGTATGTTTTCTGATGTACAGCTTTTCCAAATGGATCAGCATTATTTTCGTTCCATGAGCCATAGGTGTTTTGCTAGATGAACAGTTTTCCAAATTAAATTTCTTCAGGATATCAAAAATATATTTTGTTTGATAGGTAAAAATTCCCGAAGATAATTGTTTTACTTGAAGACCTAAAAAGAAGTTCATCTCACCCATCATACTCATCTTAAAACAAGAAACCATTAAGGCAGAAAAGTTTTTGCAGTATTTTGGGTTTGTAGATCCAAATATTATGTCATCTACATAAATTTGTATCAAAAAAATATCCGATTTCTCCTTTTTAATAAAGAGGGTTGTGTCAATATTACCTTTCAAGAAACCTGATTTTACCAGAAATTCTGATAAAATATCGTACCAGGCTCTCGGTGCTTGTTTAAGACCATATAATGCTCTGTCAATGATGTATACGTGATCCGGCTTTGACTGATCCACAAAACCCTCCAGTTGAGCAACATAGACTTCTTCCTTGAGAAGACCATAAAGGAATGCCGTCTTGACGTCCATCTGGTACATAGTAAAATTTGTGTATGCACCGTACCCAGAAACATCCTTATAGCTTCGATTCGTGCTACCGGGGCAAAGGTTTTGTCGTAGTCAACACCTTCTTGTTGATTTTATCCTTTTGCGATGAGCCGGGCCTTATTTATGACAACAACATCGTCTTCATCCTTTTTATTATTGAAAACCCATTTTGTACCGATAATCGTCTTATTGTTGGGACGGGGTACCAATCTCCAGACTTTTAGTGCTTCAAACTGATTCAGCTCCTCTTGCATCGCAAGTATCCAGTCCGGATCTGCTAAGGCTTTAGACACCTTAGTTGGTTCAATGTTACTCAGAAAAGTGGAATATAGACACTCATTGGCAGTAGCAGACCGAGTACGAATAGATGCTGACGGATCACCAATAATTTGATGTATTAGATGATTCCTGGTTCACTTTTTGCTATGAAGTAGGGGAATATAGAAACTTTGATCTGAATTTTGATCAGTGTAAGTATTTGGGGAGTTAATTGGAACAGGTTCAGGTGAAGGTTCAATGTTTGGAACTGGAGTAGGCTGAATATCTGACTGAGGTAAGGTATTTTCATCTTCAACGACCGACACCTCTGGCAAGTCCGTATTTACACCCTCTTCACACTGAACTGGACCGTTAGAAGTTTCCATCTGAATTTCTTCATCTACTTCCTCTGTTTCTTCTTCGGTTTCAGTTACTGGAACATCAGCAGATGGACCAGATAACTGTTGTTCGGTTTGAATATCCCTGGACAAATCATTTGACTTATTAGATTTATTTTCGAAATATTCATCGTAAAAATTTTCAAACAATGAATCTAAATCAGAATTATTAGAATTTGAAGATTCAGTTTTATCTGCTTTTCGCGAAGTATTAATTATCAGCCCGGGTCCTGAACCGTTTTGTTCAGAAGCCACATCAATAACTTCATTGAATGAAACGTTGATGCTCTCATTGATGATTTTCGTCCTTTTATTGTAGACACTATATGCAACAGACGTTTTTGAGTAGCCAATAAAGACAGCTTCGTCAACCTTTGCAGTGAACTTTTCTCTGTCCTCTTTGTCATTTAAGATAAAACACCTACAACCAAATACTCTAAAGAATTTGATATTAGGTATTCTTTTATTTATTATTTCATAAGGAGTTTTACCAAACCTTTTGTGAATGAGAGATCGGTTCTGGGTAAAACATACAGTCGCCACTACTTCAGCCCAAAGGAATAATGGAAGTTTAGAACACGTTAGGAGTGTACGCGCCGCTTCCACTAATGTTCTATTTTTACGCTCAACATCACCATTCTGTTGTGGTGTCCGGGCTGCTGAGAATGTATGTGTGATATCGATGGATTCTAGGAATTCGCCGAGAGTACTGTTCTTGAATTTAGTTCCATTATCAGTTCTGATTTTCTGAACTGGCAGTTGAAGATTTGTTTGAACCGTCTTCAAAAATGAAATGATTGTCTCAGCTGCTTCATCTTTTGACATCAGAAAATGAACCCATGTATATCTTGAGTAGTCATCGACAATGACTAGAACATACTTCTTTCTGTTTATGCTTTGTACTCGCATAGGACCACAGAGATCCATATGGAGTAGATGAAGAGGACGGTCGGTATTGAACTCTGTCTTCGGCTTATGTGAAGCTTTTTTCAGCTTACTCATTTCACATGCGCTGTACACATGGTGTTTATGAAACTTTAAGTCTGGGATGCCTTTAACCAAGTTGTCACAAACCAAATTGTTCAGATAGAGAAAGATGTTGATGCCACAGTAGATTTTGCTTCAAGGATGCCTTGGATATCAAGCAGACTTTAGTATCTACTTGTGTGTTGGATAGGTCAATTGTATAGAGGTTTGATCTTCTGACTCCAGCTAGAAGCTCATTACCATCAGTAGTACGGATGCTGCACTGGTTAGCTTTAAAACAAACTTCTAAATTCTTATCACAAAACTGACCTATACTGAAAAGATTATGTCCAAATCCTTCGACATACGACACTTTCTTTATCATTAAATTCCCAGATATTACGTCACCGTATCCAAGGATAGGCGCGTATTGGTTGTTTCCAAATCTTACCGTACCTCCAAACGATTCAACAAAGTTAGATATAAGATCTTTTCTACCAGTCATGTGTTTAGAACATCCKGAGTCTAAGAACCACACATGTCGGTTAACCTGCACAATGAATCAATTGGGTTTTGGTACCCATTTTAGATTGGGTCCTTTGAGATTAGATTTTGTTGGTGGTATACTATATGTACCAAACCAACGCTCTTTTAACTTCATTTTCTTAGATAAAGCAGATAAAGCAGAATGCATGATATGATAAGGTTTAAAAGAAGTAAAAGACATAAGCAACTCATTCAATCTACACGGATATGAAACAATTCATCTACTGAATATCTTTGTACAAGATTATTCAATGTTGAATTATTTAATACAGAATCAGCAAAACTATTCTTCTTCTGTTGATTTGAAGATTTATCTTCTTCTTTTACTCTCTACACCTTCTTAAACTTCAACGATTTATCTGAAATAGGAAAAATAAAATCATCAGCTTTAAATGAACAATGAACTTTATGTTTAATTTTCTTATCAGCAAACTTCTTCTGTTTTCTCGAATTCTTTTTAGATTTATTCTTTTTATAATACCAATTCTCGGAAACAGGTTTTCTATTGAAATTATTTTCAAATCTGAAGCTATGTCGGAATTCTCAGTCATTTCATTTTTTACAATAAAATCTTCGTGACTGGGAAGTTTCATTGAAAAGTTAAAACTTATCAATCTCATTGTCTAAACTAGTCTCTGAGTTCAAGATATCTAAAAAATTGATTTCATCATTTAAAATATTTAATTCTTCTGAATCCGAAGTGTCACTTGAAGATTTAGCACACGAAAAATATTCAGACTCAACTCGTTCCGTTTTAACTTTAGAATTTTCCAAAATTTCAATTTTATTTAGAAATTCTTGCTTTTGTTTATTGAATGAAAGTCTTCTTCATTTAAAATCTTTTCTAATTGAACCACTTGTTTTTCAAGATTAATGTTGGAGTATAGAGTTTTGGTTCAGCAGGTTTAGATTCAAGCTCTACTTTTGAATAACTGTGAAAATAATTAGTTGAAAGTGCAGAGACTTGTATTTTGTAGCTATCATTTAAATTTTTATAGTCAAACGGAACTTTCATTTTTTCTTTTTTTTCAGTTAAAATCTTCTTGTTGTTCTACTTCATCAGAAAATTGTGTAAATTTAATTTGAAACTCGGGTCCGCAATCAAGATATTCAAATTTATATAAAGTTGGGGTATAGTATAAAGATTTTCCTAAAAATTTCGGATTTTCGTACCCCAACCCTTCCCGAGGGTTAAAGAATCTTGTCTCAGAGGGTTTGTTAAGAAAAATCGTTTGATCAGTCTGCCATCTCTTATATAACTTCTCCTCCTTGGCTTTCAGTTTTTCATTTAAATCAATAACTTGTAATTCAAGCTTATTAATTTTAACAATTAAGTCTTCATTCACTAACTCTAACGATTTATATCGGTCCTTTGAATCAGATAATTCGGTTTTTAAGATGTTGGATTTTTCATTAAATGTTTTTGATTCAGATAATAAAGATTTTTCCCAATCCAAATTTCCAGCATTCTCATCAAAGAGTTTTATATATTTTTCATTTTTGCGTTTCTAATTCTTTTTGAAAATTATTTGAATGCAATTTTTCTGATTTTAATTGTTGCTGAAAAACTTGGAGTTTAAGCATCATCTTTTGCATCTGATTAATGCATGAGTTTTCCAATACCTCTTCATCCATCTCAGCATTCTCCTCATCTCCTTCATCTGAAGAATCAATTTCAGTCTTAGCCATTAAACAGATGTGAGCCACAACTTCTGACTCTTCCTCCTCATCGGTTAAGTTTAACCAATGGTCATCCTCAGCCATTAACGCCTTTCCAGCATCTCTTTGTTTAGATAGAAGAAATTGGTTCTTATAGTAGTCGGTATTTCTTGTTATCGGCTTTCTGCAATTTACCGCAAAATGACCCAATTTGCCACAGTTGTAGCATTTGGTATTATCATCTGCAACTCCTTTAATGAACTTTTTCTTCTCTTCAGGTTTCTTTTCATATTTCTTTTTGTATCTCTTCTCGTCATATTTCTTCTTTTCATCGAATTTATCTTTAAATTCGTATTTTGAACCCGAAGAGAATCTTTGATTATTGGAGTGCGGTTTCTTCTAAAACTTCTTTTGAAATGCTTTAGTCAGCATCGCCATGGCATGTTTGAGTTCATTCATCTCTGAGTCTGAGTCTGAGTTGTCACTTCCTTCACTTGACGATTCACTTGACTCGCTGATTTCTTTCACTTGCTTCCCAGATCTGCTTTTACTCTTCTTCTCATATACAAAGGCTAAAGGATCAGAAACTTCCTTTTCCTTTTTCTTCTTTGAATCTCGGACCTCTAAAACTTCTTCCTCGTTATGTTTCAGAGTTTCATAAACCTCGTGTATATCGATATCAGATAAAGATTTATTAAATCTGATATAATTAGCATAAGGCTTCCACTCAGGTTGTAAATTGCTAAGGAATTTAACCTTTATCTCAATGACAGTTTTAGAGATGCCATTCTTGGTAAGCTCATTCACCAGTCTGGTAAGCCTATCATATACATCATCAAGACTCTCTCCTTCTTTAGCCTTAAACTCTTCATAAGCTGAAATGTAGTTTGTGATTTTTAACTAAGTTCCCACCTTCGAACCCGTCATCATCTTCTCTATCTGCATCCACATGTTGTGACCCGAAGCTTTGTGACTGTCAATGCTTGTATAAATGTCATTGGTCAGTGCTTGCATCATATATGACTTGCACAACACATCAGCATGTGCTCTCTCCTTTTCTTCAGCAGCGTATCTGGAACTTTCTTTTATTATTCTTTGAGCAGGTCTGCCTTCATCAGGGATGGCAGGTGTTTCTCTCCAGAATACTGCAGGTCCTTCCATCAGATATTCCATGATCAACTCACCTTCTTTCATTCTTTCAATAAAGTTTAGAAATCTGTCTCTCCACTGGTTGTAATCTCCTCTGAATAAAACTAGTGGCTTGGTATCAGTACCAATAGCCATTGCTTCTCTTGAACTCATATTATCTTATTAATATGATATCGGATCTTCTGCAGTTCAAAATTTGATTTAAAGGATTAATATTCAAAAATATTTCAATAAATCGCACACAGGAATTTGCACACACATTCAAGACTTAGAAAATTTAAGCACAAACACTTATCCGGATTAGAAGTCCGAACAAGCTTAATCCGGATTAGATATCCAGACAAAAAGATTGTCAATATTCTAATCAACACAGGTTATCCGGATTAGATATCCGGACAACAAAGACAAAAAAGCTCGCACAAACACAATATATCCGGATGAGAAATCCGGTGAATTCAAACACTTAGACAAAATTTCAACACTTAAGAAATCTCAATACGGACGTATAAAGTCAACAAGTCAAGTCAAACAAGTCAACAATTCAATATACGATCAAATCCGCTCAATTACAAAGTCAAACAATTCAATCCGCTCAATAAAAGTCAAACAATTCAATCCGAACAAAAAGTCAAAGAATTCAATCCGCTTAACAATGAAAGTCAAAATCCGCTCAAATAGTCAAAATCAACAATCCGCACACTTATGGTCAAAGTCAATTACGATCAAGATTTAAATCGCACAATAAATCAAACGGTACTAAATCGCTTATTAAGTCGCACACAGTTATGATCGAATTATCACTTAATCGGACACAACTTCAGACGGTTTAACACTATATCGCTCAAGTGTTACCCAGTTTATCACTAAATCGCATAATCAAATTCACATAAAATCACAAGTCTTAAATCGCACACAACTATACCCGGTTTAACCTAAATCGATCAAAGAGTTATACGATTAAAAATTAAAGTACAAACACAATTTTAACAATTTTTCACCAAAAATTTGGATCAAAACATGAAAAAATAT